AACCCCCAAAAAACCCCGAAATTCCTCCAAATTCCACCCAAATTTCACCCAAAAATTCCCAAATTTTCCCAATATTCCCGAAATATTTCGGTGGCCGCCGGACCCGGCTCGGGCCTGAGCCGGGAGCCCAAAATTCCCAAAAAATCCCATTAAAATCCCATTAAAACCCCCAAAAAACCCCGAAATTCCCCCAAATTCCACCCAAAAATTCCCGAATTTTTCCCCAATTTTCCCAAAATTCCCGAAATATTTGGGTGGCATCCAGACCCAGCCGGGCCTGACCTGGGAGCCCAAAATTCCCAAAAAATCCCATTAAAACCCCCAAAAAACCCCAAAATTCCCCCAAATTCCACCCAAATTTCACCCAAAAATTCCCAAATTTTTCCCAAATTTTCCCAAAATTCCCAAAATATTTCGGTGACTGCCGGACCCAGCTGGGCCTGACCTGGGAGTCCATAATTCCCCAAAAAAATCCCATTAAAATCCCATTAAAACCCCCAAAAAACCCCGAAATTCCCCCAAATTTCACCCCAAAATTCCCAAATTTTTCCCAAATTTTCCCAAAATTCCCAAAATATTTCAGTGGCCGCCGGACCCAGCTGGGCCTGACCTGGGAGCCCAAAATTCCCAAAAAATCCCATTAAAATCCCATTAAAACCCCCAAAAAACCCCGAAATTCCCCCAAATTTCACCCAAAAATTCCCGAATTTTTCCCAAATTTTCCCAAAATTCCCGAAATATTTGGGTGGCCGCCGGACCCAGCTCGGTGGCCAGCCGGGCTCGCTGCCGGGCGTCGCCGCTGGCCCAGGCCGTGTCCAGCACTCGGCTCCCAAACCGGTCCCGAGCCAGCCCGGCCCACTGACCCTGGGAAAAAATAAATAATAATTACTGCAAATTAATTAAAAATTAATGACAATTTAATAAAATGATTTAAAGTTAAATAAAAAGATCGAAAACGGGGCAAAAATCACGTTTTTTTCCCGAAAAAAATCCCATTTTTTCCCTAATAAAATCCAATTTTTCACCCAAAAAATCCGATTTTTCACCAGAAAAATCCCATTTTTCTCACCAAAAAAATCCCATTTGTTTCAACAAAAAAATCCCATTTTCTTCCCCAAAATCTTATTTTTCCACTAATAAAATCCCATTTTTCACCAAAAAAAATCCTATTTTTCACCAAAAAAAATCCCATTTTTCCCCTAATAAAACCCCAATCTTTTACCAAACAAATCTAATTTTTCCACAAAAAAATTAAACTTTTTCCCAAAAAATGAGAATTTTTTTTGACAAAATATCAGCATTTTTCCCCAAATAAAATACCAATTTTCCCCACAAAAAATCTCAAATTTTTTTCACTAAAAAATCCCATTATTGCCTAAAAAAATCAGATTTTTTTCTCCTCAAAAACTCATTTTTTCACTAAAAAAACGCGCGTTTTTTCAGTAAAAACTGGATTTTTTTTCCCCAAATAAAATCCCAATTTTCCCCAAAAAATCTTATTTTTCTTTCTGCTAAAAATTCCGATTTTTTCACTAAAAACATCCCATTTTCCCCCAGACGAAATCCCGTTTTTTCACTAAAAAAATCGATTTTTTTGTAAAGATTTGGAATTTTGCTCCCAAAAATCGGAATTTTTTCCCCAATAAAACCATTTTTTCTACTAAAAAATCTAATTTTTTTCCCCAAAAAAATCTCATTTTCCCACTAAAATATCCTACATTTTCCCAAAAAAATACCATTTTTTCCACTTAAAAATCCCATTTTTCCCTTCAAAAAATCAGATTTTTCCACCAAAACCCCCGTATTTTTTCCCCAAAATCCCCCATTTTTTTTTCCCGAAAGGGGGTAATTTTTTCCCCGAATAAAACCCCAATTTCCCCGGAATTTCCCCCAAATTCCGGGCACCTGGAGCCTCCCGAGGAGCCATTTCCGCGCCGCGCCGCAGCCCAAGATGGCGTCGCAGAGGCGGCTGCCGGGGCCGCCCCGCGCCAGCGCCGCCAGCGCCGCGCCCGACAGCGCCGCCAGCGCCGCGGCGACCGGGGCGGGGCCGGGGAAGGGGGCGGGGCC